AAAAAAAAAAAAAAAAAAAGAAAAGGTTATGCATCACTGAAAGATAAACAAATATGTTGTCCAAAAATTAACAATACACCATGAAACCTTAGTGCCCCATGGCTAATGTATCATATTAATCCTAGGACAAACAAAGAACAGTGCAAACATTAAATTTGAATGTCACATTATTATCAGTAAAAGTTGCTTATCGAGTTTCACAATGGTTCTAGGGGAGAGGTCATCTACGTACACCACCACGCGGCCGCTTGGAAAAGTTCCGAATGGGGGCGGGCAGCCCATGCATAGCCGACCCGTACGCGTGCATATTATCAGCATTCGAAACCAAAGGTTGAGCAGGAGGTTGATACGATTTATTTCGACTGTTCAGCAATGACTTGAGATAATTTTGAGACGGCTGATTAGCGGTATTTGTACTCACGCGGCCCAACCCACTTATATCTGTGGCACTAACCATGGAAGCAAGAGAGTCCACGGGCTCGTTCGGCAGTGAGATCCCAGACATCCCGTCGTATGATAAGATGCAAGCTATGGCATACAAGGAGGCCCCAAGATGTTCCGGGAGAACCTTCTTTGGATGCTTTACCTGAACCAGAGAAAAATGGTAATTGTCAGTAAATTACATATACCTCCTAGAGGTTTTCACACACGCCACACAATGAGGTTTTTCTTCTCGAACTTTTTCCTCTATTAGCCAAAAAAACAAAAGAAGAAAAAATCCTGAAGATCATTTTATAACTAGATAACCAGAAATTACAATAACTACCGCATTATGTTAGGAACTACCCCCAACCGTGGCACCCTTCCGTTCCTCTTATTATACTTATTTGTATTGCCAATCCTCTTATTATACTTATTTGTATTTACCATTTACCGCCAACAATTGGCTGGGATACAGAACCACAAGAAGGTATTTGTAATTTCAGCAGATAACGAGGGCTTTTAGCAATCAAATCGAACCTGAAACATTTCGTAAGTATCCTTATTCCCTAAGGTGTTCAATGAAGCACAAACAATGCATCCTATACATTACTTGCAACCTATGTGGAGTAAGTGAAACTGAGCAAAGAACAGAGATACAGATACTAATTCGAAATGATAGAAAGCTTACTTTAAAGAAAACTGCAGCTGAAAGTCTCTCCCTGAGACAGTAAATCTGGGCCACATCAAGCGCTGTTGACTCCAAAGGCAGCCACCCGTCGACTAACACCTTCACACTATTCCCCGGCAAAGACATAATCCTCTCCCCATTCTCGACACTCGTCGTGTCCATTCTATCTTCATCCCGGCTGTCATCCTCACAGTCACTCTCTTCCCCACTATCATCCTCCGCGGACCGGCCCACCACAATCTCCGATGCCAGCAACAGCAAAGGGAGCGGCCCCACAACGCTGCAGTCCCGAATAAACATCCCGCCATCCCCACGCGTTATCTCGTTAAAGACAACCAATGGCGGCCCGACCCCACCTTTCCGGACAGACAGCCTGGCATTAGTCGAGAACGGGTGCAACCTCACTCTGTTACCATCAGCTGTCTCCACTAACGACTTCCTCCCAACAAGGACCACCCGCCCAACCATCGGGTACAATCCGGCCACAAGCACCGCGTGGAGTATTCCCGGGTCCCGCGCGTTCAGGCTGCATCGGGAGGCATCCTCCGGGATAAAACCGTGCCGTATTAACTCTCTCTCCAACTGCTTTCTCATTTGGGAAAGCATTCTCATGGTGTTTTGAGAGACAAAGTATCGAGAGCAGAACTTGGTCTGTTCGCCCCTGTCCTTGGCGGCCCGCCAGCAGTCAAATGCGGCGATGACCGCCAGCTGATCGCCATTACCGCCGAGAAGGGAGGCGAGTTCGGAGCGGGCCGACTGGGCCCGCTTCTTCTCATCGGGGAGCATAGGTAGGATGAAGGGGTCCTTGTAGTCGGAGGCGCAGGCGAGGGTTAAGGCCGGGTCGAGGCAGTTGAGGAGGATAGCGAGGAAGAGCATCTTGCTGGTGAGAGGGTGGACCGGAAGCGCTCCGAGGCGCTCGCCGAGCTCTGTGAGCTTCTCGTCGTCGGGAGTGAGGGCGCCAAGGCCTTGGAGGACGGAAACTGCGTTGTGTATCGTCTCATGGACGGGTGGGTCCAGCGTCTTCTGCAGGAACTCGTCTATTTTGCAAGATGGGTTGATGAGCTTCACCTGTTGAGGAGAAAAATAATAAAATAAGACAAAGAAGAAATAATAAAAGAAGAGGATGATTACAATAAACAACTCTTCTGCTAGGAGGGCGGACGGGAGGGAGGGAGAGAAAGAAGGGAAGTCTCAAGTCGCCGGTATCTCCTTAGGACTGTATCTACCTCAATAAAATATCCCCTATAGAGGGTAAAACAATAAAGAAAGACTAATCTGTCAAATATGCAGATTTTCGAAATGTTATTAGGGCTTTTCTGTAATTAAGCTGGACCTTCTCAGCTTTTGTATGTTTAACCCTAAATTATATGGGAGAGAGACTAACCATGTTACTGAAAACCAAAAAGTAAAAATTATTGTTTCCAAATCCTCTCTTTTGTCTTGGGGAGTTTAGTATCAATAGAAGAAAGCAAGGAAAGAGGAGAGTGTATATATCTACTTCATGAAAAGATATCAGGCTCCTAATAACCCATGAAACCATGATTTTACAATCACAGTCTTGCAGAACACATGCAAGTTAGATACCTGCAGACACAGCTCCTCTAGAGGCATCCTCTTGATCTCTGGGACTTGGAAATCTGGCAGTGAAGCTGCCCGAAGTTTTGAAAAGAGGTGATAACAGATACCCGGCTGGCACCTGCCTGCACGCCCCTCCCTCTGCTTCGCGTTCGCTTTTGAAATCCAATAAGTCTGAAGAGTCGAGACATTGTTATATGGGTCGTAATTTTTCTCCTTCATCCGTCCGCTGTCCAGGACATAAACAACATCCTCAATGGTGACCGAGGTCTCAGCAATATTGGTGGAAAGCACAATTTTCCGGCAACCGAATGGGGGCCGTTTGAAGACTTTCTTCTGCTCGGACAATGGAACCCTAGAATGAAGAGAAATAATAAGGAATCTCGAAGGATCCTTGAAAAAAGGGCTAGCTTGTAATCTCTCGCGTGTTCTATTTATATCGTCCCAGCCCGGAAGGAAAACGAGAATAGCTCCATCATTCGAGTCAATACAGATTCTCCTGAGAAGTTGCTCAATAAGCACACAATCTATTAATTCGGGGTCGACATTTGATAAGTATTTATCTAATAGGTTCTGGTCCTCCTCAGAATTTGTCAACGGTTTCTCCATGTACTTTTTAATAAATCCTTCGGCCTCCACTTGATTATCTTGTTTGGCATAATCTAAAGCCGTCTTTCCTGCGTTGGATTTGATGCTACAGTCCACCCCGAGAGAGAGAAGCATGCAAATATCACTAACCCGTCCTTTTCCCGCAAATACCATCAATGGTGTCACTCCAGTTTTAGAATGCTGATAATTCAAGACTTCTGAATTTCCTTGGGAGGATATTAAATCAAGAAGGGGATCAAATTCGTCACTTGATAGAGCCAAGTCAATGGCCTCATCGAGCGCAACTCGGCATTCATTAGTTATAGAAGTCTCCACAGTTATGCTGTTTTTAGTGCATGCAAGGGGTTTGGTTTCAGTCGATCTGACCAGGGATAGTACATCCTCCAAGTAAAAAGGTTTGACCTGGAACACATTTTCTCAACATGATTTCGACATGATTTCGACAGTTCATACTTCATAGAAAGAAATTCAAGCACTTCAAAAAGACAAAAGGAAAGAAAAGAAAAAGATATATAAATTACAGGGTAGGTAAATCCAGGCACACGAATAATCGGGCATCCACAGAAGTACGTTGAAAATCGTTCTGCATCAATTGTGGCACTCATTAGTACCTGCCCAGGTAGAAACGTCAATCACATCTGTTTGCGACTCTGAAAAGGTAATATGAAAAAGACATACACATTTAACCGAGAAAGAATACAGGAAAGATGCTCACCAAACGCAGCTGGGGATACAACGGAAGCATGTCTCTAGCCATAACATTAACAAATCATCAGAAAGATGTGGGAATAAAAACCAAGAAATTATGCAGCATGTATTTAATATTTACGCAACATGTATTTCTAAAATCCGTAAGTAGTTAATCTGATGAATACAGAACATGTATTCATGCAAGAAGGTTACTGCTAAAAGAAAAATAATCACAAGGACCTCGGTAGCAAATATAAGATCATATTGAACAAAAACCATGGAGGACAACTTAAACAAGGCACCTGATTATTGTGAGCATGATATCAGAGAAGCGGTCCCTTTCATGAATTTCATCCTAAAGAGAAAACAAAGTGGCCATCATATAAACCCTCACGCAAAAGAACTAAAAATATATATGGGTCAATGAACAGGTCGATTTGCAATATATTTCTTTTCTTTTCTTTTTTTTTTTTTTTTTTT